AGATAGATAGATAGATAGATAGATAGATAGATAGATAGATAGATAGAGATAGAGATAGAGATAGAGATATATAGATATATAGATATATAGATATATAGATATATAGACAGACAGACAGACAGACAGACAGACAGACAGACAGACAGACAGATAGATAGATAGATAGATAGATAGATAGACAGATAGACAGATAGACAGATAGACAGATAGACAGATAGATAGATAGATAGATAGATAGATAGATAGATAGATGTTTTTTTTTTTTTTTTGAGACAGTGGGGGTTCAATGACTTGACCTGAGGATCAAACCACAACCTTCTGATTGGAGGATAACGTCCCCACTACTTGGCTGAAACCACATCTTGTTTTGGTTTTCCCATAATAACTCAAATTAGCTCCCTGATTAAAAAGTATCACCCTGTCTAATAGTATGCATACATTTTTTTTCAGAAAATATGGTTCCAGTATGAACCAAAAGGTAAAGAAAGTGTTTGTGCATCCCGTTCTGTGCATTCTGTCGTTTGTTATTTTGGAAACTTACTTCAGCATCTCCATCTCCTGAGGCAGGTTGTACGCCAGCAGGTGGTTGAAGAGTCGCAGGTGGGACTCTCTGGTGAAGTTCAACCTCATGACCTGACTCAGGTACCTGCAGCGAGGATGACAAGGACCGTTAGTCCACGATGCAGAGGTAAAGTTTGGCTCTGCTTATATAAACTTCCCTACTTTGATTTACTGGGATTCAGACAGTGTTACAGCTTTAACTGGGAATCATGACACAGTTTCACAACTGAAAAATGTTTATTTTATAATTCTGCATTCTTAAAAGTTACAGCTCTTTGTATTAATGAATGAGCGTCTGAGGTCATTGCTTCGCATGTTTAAATGATGCTTCTCAATACAAACTCTTCAGTTGTACTATAGTATTTGTATTTGAGCAGAGTTAATAGCTGAGTACAGCATTCAGCACTGGTTCTATCTCATTTAACTCTAAACCATTGTGTTTATGCAGGTTTTGCTAAGATCCTTTCAATTGACTGTACTTTGAAATGCCTAAATCCTGGCAGTAGTTTCTTTTTGTGCTTGAAAATTATTAAATCTGCTGCAGTTGATTCTCAGTAAAGGAGGCGTTTATGCTGGAACAACCTCATCAGATGCAAAACAAAAAAATTTCAGGTTTTGTTTTGTTTTTTTACTGGATGCATCTGGGACACTCCAGAGTCTTTTCTTTTTTCTCTCACATAGAAGTTGACAGAGTGGGGTCACTTGACAGGTCAAAGCGCCACAGGAGGCGATAAGAAAGTATTTACGTTTCTTTACACACACTCAGTGGAAAGACTTTAATACAAGTTGACAAACATGATGCAACACAACCCTTGGCAGCAGCTTTGTAAAAGTACTTCAAAAGGAAAATCACTGTGATGAGCCGACATCCCACGGTGTTGTCGTTATCAGCAGTCGCGTTATCTTGGTAACTCTTCTGTTATTAACTGACCAAAACTTTGGAGTTCTTGGTAAAAACACGAACGACTCACTTCTCCATGGTCCCAAACAGCCACTTGGGCTCTTTGTTGAAGGGCATCCTCATTCCATGGAACTTGGCCATTTTCTCTGCAACCTCAGCTGAGATGCTGGAGTCGCTCAACTCACAGGTGTCCAGTTTACGGCTCTGTCAAAAACACAAAACACCGTCATCGTCCAGAGCTAAAGTTTGATTCTGATTAAAATACAAACAATTTAATTTGCGTCCTAAAATTTCAGCTTATTCTAAACTGGAGAGGAGCTTCTTTTACAGCCGGTGTGTGAATGGCAGCTTATAGCAAACCATTCTGTTTAGGCTTTTCTCTGGATTGTGACTTTTTGACTGTCAAAGGCAAAACAAAAATAGCAAGACCCTGTTACGGTTCAGTGATTCTCCCACAGTCAGTTGGGGTCAGTTTCATTTTCTACAAAATAACAACAGCAGATGTTTTGGTTTGTTACTTGTTTCCAAACGCTGATTCGTGATGCATTCATTGCTGCACATCACACAAATTAATCATTCGTTCAAGATTTAACCCCGAGTCAGAAAGGGTGACAATAAAGAGTTGGCAATCTGTGAAACTAGACTGTAACCAATTGGGGACAACAGAGAATGTGACATTCCGGACGGCCTGAAAGGGGGACAAAAAGAAATTATAATAAATTGTGAACACATTGAGGCGTAATTGTTTAAATTGTATCCAAAATGTTTCCTGGGGGATCACTTTTTTTGGAGGTGTTCCAATCAGGCTTTAAATTTTCCCACAGCACTGATTCCACTCTGTTGAAGGTTTTTAATTATGTCTTTCTAGCCATGGATGCTGGTGATTCTGTGCTTCTTGTCCTATTAGACATTACATCTTCATTTGACACCAGTGACCATGAGATCTTCACTTCCAGGTTGGAGCAGCGGGCGGGCATGACGGGGTCAGCCCTCAAATGGTTTAGGTCCTTCCTCTCCAATAGAATCTTTTGTGTCATCAACATCAAGGATTTTATTTCCAACATTAGCAGCTCTTCAGCAGGGGGTACCACAGGGCTCCACCCTTGGACCTCTTTTCTTTACACCTGCTGCCACTAACTGCTATTTTTCATAAACAACATACCTTTTCATTTTATGCTGATGACTGTCAAATTTACTTCCCTCAGAAGCACACTGGTGCACACTCTATCCATTCTCTTCTTGACTGCCTGGTTGGCATCAGGGATTGGATGACTTTACATTTCTTGAATTTTAATGAGAAGAAAACAGAAGTCGTAGTGTTTCCACCTAATGGCACAATCAGAAACCACTGTATTGACCGTTCCTCTCTAGCTTGGTTTGAGAAACAGGTCGTGTCTAATCTGGGAGTGAAAATGGACCCTTCCATGAAGCTAAACTGTCATGTAAACACTACTGTTGAATCCTGTTGGGTTTTTTTTTTTCCCCAGTTGATGCGACTGTCTAAAATGAAGCCCATACTGTCCAAAAGCAACCTTGTGACAGTAACACATGCTTTCATAACATCCAGGCTTAATTATTACAATGCACTTTTTTTTGGAATCAGTTACTTCCACTGCCTGTTTGCAACCGGTTCAAAATGCTGCAGCCCGATTTTTACTTGGTACAGGCAAAAGAGAGCACATTTCTCCAGTTTTGGCCTCCCTTCACTGACTCCCGGTTCACTTCCCAAAATCATTTAAAAATCCATTTTTATGTTTTTAAATCTCTAAATAGTTCTACCCCCTCTTAACTTGCAGATCTGCCGCAGCCATATGTCCCACAGTGCTCTCTGGGGTCAACAGATGAGATGCTTTTACAGGTTCCAGGTACTCGTTTTAAGCTCAGAGGTAACAGGGTCTTCTCTGTTGCAGGTCCAAAACTGTGGAATGAGTTACCACTGCATGTCAGGCAAGCTCTCTCTCTCTCTCTCTCTCTCTCTCTCAATGTTTTAAAGTCTCATTTAAAAACACACTTCTATTCCCTGGCTTTTGATCCAGTGTTAGTTGATTTTTACTTCACTGTTTTTACTATTTTAGTCATTTAGTTTCTTATCTTTACCCATGTGGATCCATGTACTTTTTGCTATGTCCTTTGCTTGTTTGTTTTGCTGTACAACACTTTGGTTGGCCTTGTTGCTGTTTTTAAATGCTTTATAAAAAAAGTGGTATGGTATGGTATGGTATGGTATTGGAATGGTACGAAGCATGAAGTCTTTTGGATGTTCAGTTTACTGTCAACTCCTTGCCTGTTTCTAAACTATCCCCGGGATTCTGGAAAAACAAACCCACGTCCATCCAGTACGATCAACATGTTGACTTACAGGGACATACTGCTCCAGGCGACCCTGAGGGAAAATGCCATAAAGTTTGGGTCCCAGCTCCCTCTCAGCTAGGATAGCAAACATCACACTCTCCAGCACCATGGCCTCTGCCCCCTGCAAGGAAACAAGACAGGAAGAGACTTTTAAACACTCATGAGTTAAAGTGAAATGAGTTAAAGTGAAGTACAAACAAAATGAGGACTTTGTGGCCACGATATCTGAAACCATTAAAGTTAGATTGAATGATTCTCTTCTCAAACCTACATCAAAATTTTAAACATTATTGATGTTTTTGGAAATAACATTTCAGTTTTGTGCATTAGTTCTTCTGATGGTTTCCTTTTTGTCGTAAATGGTTAGAATTTGGAATATTTTACCTTTAATGGTTCACAAACTCCAATTATTAACAAGTTATCCGTCTTTGGTTTTCATTAGACAAAATGAGTCTCTGTAAGTATCACATGTAAAAACAGACTTTAGAAGTTTGCTTTAAATCTTCTGACAAACTCAAACTGGACGGGAATTATGGATGAACGTCTCAGCAGATTATCCGCTGGATTAAAATCTGGGTTTTGGTTAAAAGTCATAGAAGACACTGGTGTTCTGCTTAAAGGTGAACCTGTGACTCAAACTTGTCAAGTAGACCTCTTTATTTGAATGTAGTAGCATTGCTCATCTTGGTGTCTTTGCAATACAACACTACGCAGTGTTTCCCCTAGAAAACTTGCCATGGCGTGGTGCTCATCTCATCTGTCATTTTTGTCAGGGGGAGAAGAGACAAATCTGAGCTGTGCGCTGTTTGTACCAGCAGTTTTCATGCACGGGGGGTTCAGCGTGACGGAAGAGCCTTTAGTTTTTTAGCTAACATGCCTGTATTGCACGCCGCTAGCTTAGCGTTAAGCCAGTGCCGATGGGTGGGTGGAGGTTGGGCGCGGTTTGATTCGGTAGGCGGGCGCACAGTTCTGTTAATGGGGTGGGGCGCCCCGCTTGTATAAGGGCAGGGGAGACACTGCTACATCATTACACTGCCACCACTGTGCTTCACTGATGGGATGGCACTGGGTCAATCTAAACTTAAATCTACTGCCAAAGGCTGGACTCACTTCTACCCAAGCACTACGGAAAGAATTTTAAATGTTTTAGTTTTATCAACTGTGAATAAAAATAATACAAACAAAAAAAAACCTAAAAGTTCATCTTTAAAGTAATTTGTTGAACAACCTCCTGTTTCATATTCTGAGCAACCCAAGACATTTCCAGAACAAATTGATCACATTCCCAGGTTTTCAAAATGGAAAAATGCCAACGCTGCTTTAAAGAAAAAAGCATTTGAAGCCCTACGTGTGAAAACGTCAGGACATTAGCAGGGCGAGAAGCTTTTCTGAAAGGGAACTGAAAGTTAGGGGGTGTGGAGGAGACGCTGCTGGTAGGGTCAGCTGGGTTTGCACTGAGAGGAACACAAGAGGCAGATTAAAACCAGCAGGAAGACTTGGCCGTCTCAGAGCTGCAGTCACTGTTGAAGCTGCTGAAGCAGAGAGGACAGATTTGTCTTTCTCTCTTTATCTTGCAGAAGCACAAAAGTCCCACGCTGTTTGCAGACCGGAGATTCAACTTTAATGAAAAAAAAACTCTCTCTCACACACACACACACACACACACACAAATGCATGACAGGCTAAAGCTGATTGCGGCATTTTAATTACTTGTTTTACCTCAGCCTTACTGAGTTGAGAAGACAGAGAACTGGACTGCTTGCAACAAAAAGGCAGGAGGTCACTGGCAGATTTGCTGCTTTATATTAAACTTAAAAGAGTTACAGTTGATTTTTACTGTGAGAAATTCAAATTCAGACTTGTGACGATTTTAGTGGCCTTTTCTGGGTTTGATGAACACCTCGAAGCATCTGTCGCATTCTAATTAAGGGTTTTAATGCCCACTTGTTGAAGCACCCTTATTAGCATGCTGTTCAAAATTTCGGTTCTGCATCTTGTCGCCCAGGTTTGCATTCAAAATCTAAATTATAAACTCAAACATGAGGCTCAATCGAGGTGATGTGCTACGATGTTTGGTACTGGTACTTTGCACAGAGTTGACTAAATTCACAAAGAGCTGTGCAAAAAACCAAACGATAATAATAAATAAAGGATCAATGGGGTGGGGAAAAGCCAGTTCTTTAGCTCAGGCATTCTTCATAGTAAATAAATCGTTCCAAGTCCAAGCGGGGTAACAGAAAGTTAAACATTACATAACAGAGGAGGCATTTTGACATCGTCAGTAGTTTTTACACAATCTCAGGTTAAATTTCATGTTTTGTTTTTTTCCCCACAGTGTCCATCTGATGATTTGACTAACTTTTCCGCTGTCTAAAATATTCTAATCTTTGCAAACAAACTCCTCTTGCTCCTAGAACTCTTCCAGGTACAAATTATGCATCAACACATGGATATTTTTGTCTTATTTCACCCACTGCGTTCTTTTCGTTGCAGAAGTTTTCACAGGCTTTAGTTCAATTATAGTTCAAAATTGTCTCATAATTTGAAGTCTCTTTTGAAATTGACACATCTACATAAAAAAACACACGAGGAATAAAAATGCACGTCTTGGATCCTCGGAGTATTTTTGTTGAAATAACTTTTTAAATCCAATATTTTCCTCACAGCAACGGTTTGCTTGAGGTTTACTTTTCAGTCTGTTTGCCTCTCGTTATCCTGGCAGTCAGGGAGCGAGAGACAAAGATGTTATCATAGCAACCACAATGAACCAATGGCAGCAGCTTTAATGTTTCTTTTTATCTTTGTTCTTTTTATACTTCTTATGCAATTCTTACATCAAAATAAGACCTTTTAAAAGCTTAGAATATTATAAAGTTAGGTTGGAATAAATTTATAATTTTGAGGTTTTTTTTCTTTAAAAATAAAGAAAAGTTTAAAACTGCAACATTCAGTAATCATATGAGAACTGGAGATGACACAGAAAGAAAGACTTTACAACCTTTATCATTTTAGCTTCTCTGTAATCAGCTATAGCTCCAACAAATTGAAGTAAAGGTCACAAGATGCTGTGATCGCTACACTCTTAATATGATTCACCATCAGATAAACTGTGACAGAAACAGACCAACTTCTGAAAGATACGACCTTTGGCCCAGAGGAATGCGTTTCACGCCGGCCATCCGGCAGGAAACCAGCTCAACCAAAACACTACAGCTCACTCGGTGGCCTCAGAGATGTTACACATCTTCTGCACAAGCTGTGATGAACCTCTTAAAACAGATCGGAGCTGAAACACCTGCAGAGAATCTCAACACTAAACACTCTCCTCAGAGGCAGTTGCTATCCAAACTAGAGTCAACATTTCAGAATTATCTCGTGGAAAAATTATGTAAAAAAAAACAAACAAGACCAGTTTAAGAAACACAAGACAGCTGAGAAGAAAGTGGCAATGTAAAGCTTAGTTTTGCAAACAAAAAACACAAAATGTCCATGATATTTACTATAAAATCCGACTGTAAATGGAGTAAAATATGCAAATAGGCCTGTCACGATAACTAATGTTGCTGGGCGATTGTCTCAGAAATTGTTGCGATGATTAGTAATTACTGTCAAATTTAAGAAGAAATATTGATTTGTTTGAGACCACGGGATGGCAGTATAAGACTGTTTAAACCGAAGGATGGATAGTGAGGGAGCGAGCAGCGTGTCTCTTTATGAAAAATGGGAGGGAGGCCCCTTGACGTGACATGGGCGGTCTCTCCTTCTTGTTTTCCGGTTCTCAAAATGGTGGACGCTCGGTGTGGTTTGAGCTCTTTAGCGTAGCATTTGTCACACAAAAGCTTTTAATAAAAAAAATCAGTAAACAAGTTCTCAGCTTCTTTTTGCAGAGAAAAACAACTTTTTACACGAAGGCACAGGTTTCAACCGTGAATTTTGGAGTTTCGATAAGCCGGAGGTTTTTTCCCCCTCACGAGGTCAGCCTGTTAGCTTAGCTCTTAGCTTAAATGCTTTTAATGATCCAAAAACACAATTTTGAATGGTTAAAACGGATTTTAAAGAGAAAAGAGAAAGGGAGGGGTCAGTGAAGAGCACCAGAGTTGAGCCTTTTGTCGTCCAGTGTCCAGTAGAAAGAGAGAGACACGAAGAAACGATAAAGCTGATGAATGAAAATGAGGTTGATAATTTTCATTTATCATGCGATTAATTGATTTATTGTTTATCGCGACAGACCTATATGCAAACTTATAAAAACAAAGCAGTCTATTTTTCAAGCTGCTGGTGGCTCCTTGGAACAGCGTTTCCAAACCCTGGTCCTTGGGACGAACTGTCCTGCATGTTGTGATGTATTCCAGCTCCAACACTCATGAGTCAAAGCAATGAGCAGCTTTTTAGGACGTTCTGCAGATGCCTGTTGATGGCCCAGAAGTTTAAACCTTTTGTGGACTAAACAAGGGAAACATCTACATTAAAAAGAAAATTTAGAATTAAGTCAAGATGCATCCAAGGAAGCATCAACGTGTGGCACGGAGGTTGCACAGCTGCAGAAAGAAAAGCTTTGCAGAGAGTGGTGAAGGCTGCACAGAAGTCTGTTGGAGTCAGTCTCCCCACCATCACAGATATCTACATCTCTAGATGCAGAAAGAGGGCCACCTGCATCATGAAGGACCCCACTCACCCAGCACACACACCTTTTGCCCCTCTCCTTAAGGAAAGAGGTGGAGGAGAATTAAGTGTAGAACCACAAGACTGAGGAACAGCTTCTACCCTGAGGCTGTTAGACTCATGAATATCGAACCAGAATAATCATAGTTCGGGGGAAAAAATCACTGTAATGCCACTTTGATTGATATGTGCTGCTGATTATCCATGCTGCTGATTATCCATGCTGCTGTATTCATTCGCACTCATCTACTCACACAGACTCATGTTCGTGCTGCTGTTGTTCGGCATATTGTTTCTTTTTATTGTATTCTTAGTTTAGCCTATTTCTTAAGTTTACATCTTAGTTCCTTATTACTGTTTCTTTTACAAATTATATTCTTCCTGTTGTTGGATGTAACTGGGACTCTAATTTCGTTCCACCTCATGTACCACATGTGATGCGAATGACAATAAAGAAAC